ACTCACTCTCTCTCTCTCTCTCTCTCTCTCTCTCTCTCTCTCTCTCTCTATCGCTCTCTCTCTCACACACACACACAATGGTTCTTCTTTAGAGATCTCCCTCTCTCAGTAGTTTTTCTTTAGAGCTCTCTCTCTCTCTCTTCCAGTTCAGGAATGAACCAATTCATGTTACTTCCTTTGGTTAATCTAGTCACTTTTTCTATATCAAGAGGAAATAAAATTTAAAAATAGTTGAAGTTTTTATTAAAAAAATTTAAGAGCTTTTTGTTTAGGATTTTTATTTTATTGTTCTTCTTCAGAAAGAGAGAGAGAGAGAGGGAGAGATTTGCAGGATAATCATGGTTGGGGGCGCTAAGATAAGACATCTTGGTACTGGGTCTATGTTATAGTGAGAGATGTCTATGGTCAATATATTTGTTCTACAGTTTTATGTATATATTAATGAGAGATTCTTTTAAAAACTTTTATAATTATACAAGTGATTTTATGCGATCTAATAATAATATACAATGAAAACATACTTTTTATTAAAGTTATTTGTTTGATCCCCAATTTTAAACACATTATTTTTATTGAAGTGAAGAATCTCAAACAAAATTATTTTTGAAAATACACGTTAAAAGGGTATCTGTTTAACCCATTAAACCTAGGTGATGAAACGATTAGATTGAGGAATTAGAGGGATTTTTTCTATCCCAAATTTTATCTATCATATCACTATTAGATGAAAAATTCTCGAAAAGAAAGTTATGATTTTGGCTCTTGAAAAGCCTAGATCACATTGTCCATACAAATAGACTATGTCCATTGTTGGAGACCGACACAATTCGACCTTCTCTAGGAAACAAATATGATAATTCTTTTTATTTAAAATGATTGTTTTGATAAAGAGAATGTGTATCTGAAATTTTGGGTCATACAAACATCATGGACATGATCTTTTAAGAGTTCAATTTCTTAGTGTGACAATGAAACTATGACATGAATTCACTCCCCATGTATTTTTAGCCTTTCCCTCTTGTTCTATGTCTAAGTCCTCTGTTCTTGTTTGCACATTCAAGCCTCTGCCTCTCCCCTTCCCTATTCAGCCTCTTCATATTCTATCTCCTACTTTTATGCATGGCCTCTTCGCTTTCTCCCTCCTTCCTTCACTGCTCTTTCTTTCTCATGTTCTGTTATGCATGGCCCTTCTTCTCTCTCTCTCTCTCTCTCTCTCTCATTTCATATTCACTCTCCTAGTATATTTTCTCTCCTTACATATCCTTGCATATTCTCTGGCACAATATACATAAACTTTTATGTTGGTTGTTCATTTTCTCTCTTTTCATGTTTCTTCTCTCGTATATACTTTTATGCATGGTTTGTTCAGGTCACAGATATTCCACAGAGATTCTCATCACCGGACCATTATTTTGGTTCCTTTGTTTTCCCATTGCTAGAAGAAATACGAGCTCAACTGAATCAGTCTTTTCAAACCATTTCCAAAGCTCCATGGACTCTGGTTTTAGAGAGATGGGGGAAGTCGACCTACATTTTAAGCACCAACAGCGGAGAAAGCTTCGGAAATGGCTACAAACCACATTGTGGGGATGTCATTCTTTTATCAACAACGAAACCCAACTCCATTGAAGACTTATTCAGAGCTGATTCATACCACGGCTTGGGTGTCATCTCTGTGGTTGACGACAATCGTTCTTCTGATTGCAAAGTAATTCTCTTCACGATGAAGAAGAGGCTTTTGGATGTTCCTCCATTTGATGCTGGTTGTGTAGCGATGTTCCTGATGACTCTGACACCGAATTTGCGAATTTGGAAATCATTGCATAGGATCGGAGCAAAAGAAGAAGCTCTTGGAATTTTCGGCGAGCTTTTGTGTTCTTCTAGCGATTCGGTATGACCATCTTATCTTAGTTTTTTTATTTTGCGAAGTTTGTTTTCTTTTGAGTCTTTGTTTCTTCTTGTGATCGTTTTTTGGTGATTATGTTTTTTTAGTATGTTTTCTGTTAGCAGTTTTTTTCCTTTTGTTGTTTTTTGTTCTTTTCCTGATTCTTCAGGGTGATATTGTTTTCTTGCGTTGCAATTTGCAAATTTTAAATATTTTGCAGTTTATTCTTTTGGTCCGAGTTTGGTAGTTTTTTCCCCAAATAGCTACTTTTTTTTTATATATATGTTTTTACTTTTTTTTCCTCCTTAGTACGATTTTCTTAAATGTGAGTATTCAAAATTACATGTGAGTTAAATTATCTTTTGTGTGTATGCATTATGTTTTATTTTTTTACCTTGTTCCTTTTGCTGTTGTTTTGGTATCAGTAAACTTCAATGAATTTGAGTCAGTGTGCTCTCTTGAACAGGGGAAGACAACTTGTGATTCATGCTCTCGAGGAGTTCTTGATAAGAACCTGAAATCAACTTTTAATTCATTTGGATTGAATGACTCACAAACTAAAGCTGTTTACTCTGCTTCATCTTCAATTCGATGCAACCACACATATTCTGTAAAACTCATCTGGGGTCCTCCAGGCACAGGAAAGACTAGAACAATCTGTTCAATTCTTTGGGTAGCTTTGCATATGAATTGTGCGACTCTTACCTGTGCTCCAACTAATGTAGCAATCCATGAAATTGGTAGCCGTATAGTGGATTTAGTAAAAATATCGCTTAAAGCAATCCATGGAGCTTCATCTTTTGGGTTTCCGTTAGGAGATATTTTATTGATTGGAAATGAGCAAAGACTAGGTGTTGATAATCAAATTGGTGATATCTATATCGATTACCGGATTCGTGCACTTGCAGAATGCTTTGGCCCTTCTGGTTGGAAGAAAAAGATATCATCAGCAATTGAAAATTTTCAGTCTTATGTCGATGAATACGATCCTTCTTTGGGAATGAGATCTAAAAAGAAAAGGCAAAAGTTTGTTGGGGCTTTCAGGGAGAAGTTCGCTAAACTGGTTTTGCCAATGAATGACTGTATTAGTGCTTTTTGGACTCACTTGCCCCTAACCTTTTTGAATCAAAATGAATTTGGTGACAGCTTGCGTAAACTTGGGAAGCTTCATGACTCTTTCCTTAGTTTATCAAAGACTGCCGAACTCAATGGCATAAAACTGAAGAAATTCATGGGATGCCTATGTATTAACCAAGAAATGGATTTGGTGAGTTCATTATCTGGGGAAAAAAAAGGTGATATCGAGGTTAGCATGGAAGAAATTCTATTCATGTTATCAAAGGAAGCCCTCCAAGTCCTCCAAGCACTGCATAATAGCCTCAATACAAGTCTACCTAAGAATCTGAAAGGTGACACGCTAAAGAAATTCATCTTGAAGCAGGCTTCCTTAGTTTTGTGCACAACATCAGGGTCTTCTACTTTAACCTACGGGATAATGAAGAAAGATTTCCACCTGTTAATTGTAGATGAGGCTTCACAACTAAAGGAAGCCGAATCCATCATTCCTTTACACCTTCACCGACTGAGACACGCCATCTTCATAGGTGACGAGCGCCAATTACCTGCCTTGATTATTAGTAAGGTTTGTCTCCTCCTTTGGTTGATATATGTTTGTTCAATTAACATTGTATGGACCCATCAAGAAATAAAAAGAATCAACAGTCTTTCTGCATTCTCTGTCAGGCTTCAGAGAGAGCTGGGTTTGGGAAGAGTTTATTTGAACGGCTGCGGTCTCTGGATAGCGTGACCCATCTTCTTAACGAGCAATATCGGATGCACCCTTCAATAAGTTGCTTCCCAAATACCACATTTTATGACCGGCTGATTTCAGATGGGCCTAATGTGAAAAGCAGTTCTTATGCAAAGCGCTACCTCTCCAACCGCATATATGGCACATATGCATTCATCAATGTTGCTGATGGGAGAGAGGAAAAGGAGAGTTCAGGGAAAAGTTTGAAGAATTTGGTGGAGGCAGATATTGTCATGATTATAGTGAAGAAGCTTTTCAAAGGTGGTAGTTAACTCATTCCAAATATTTCTTAGTTAAGAGAAAAAAAAGGTTCGCATATTGTCTTAGTTTGAGCAGTGATTGAAAAATTAGAATTCGGCCCTCAATCCCCAAGGGTTTGATTCCAATTCAACCAGTTCAGTGAGATTCCAAAATTGCAGTGGGTTGCATTTAAAAAACTAAAAAAAATAGGAAGAACAGGAGATTTAGGGTGATTACAAGTTTCCCCTGAACTGGAATTACCCACATCCCGATCCGTATTCAACTCAGGCGATCCCTAGTTAGAGAGGAGATTTTAAAATCACTGATTTTGAGTTTAGAATTTTTATGCTATCTTGACATGTCCTGCTATTGGTGAATGTGTTCTTTCCATATTTTTTATGCTATCTTGACAAGTCCTGCTATTGGTGAATGTGTTCTTTCCAAATGTTATATGTCCTCCACTAACTATATGTCCTTTATAAATCTTTATAAAATTTGCATGGGTCTAAATAGACAGCCATTCCTCATATATTTGCATACAAACTGCACCTGAAACCTGCAATAAACTTGTATTATTTTGAACTACTTAATGTCTTATATGGAAATTGATATAGAGTCATACAATAGTCTTAGAAATATATTTTTAGGGATTGTATACAATGAGACCATTTATCTTTGATACAAGGTGGTCACAATTACTTACAACCATACCATCCGATGTGAAATTTGATAGCTTGGATGTGTCACAAGTTCGAGAAAATTTCTTTTGAAGTTTGAGCTTACTCAATAGAATAATTGCAACCACCTAATTTCACATCCAAGGGTCAAGATTAATATGACCACCTTGTACCAAAGGTAAATGGTCTCATTCTATACTTTCCCATATTTTTAAGACAACATTTTCTGGTTTTAAGCTAGGTAACATTTCTAGGTTAAATGCAAGATGTAATGTAGAAAAATGAGCACATAAATGCCAATACTATGATACAGGACTTGAAGATCTTGGCACACATCTGGATTTTGCATGTTCCACTATTTGCGAACTTGGGCCTTTTTTATTTTACTCATAATTTGACTATAAATATACTTTCTTTTCTCCTCAATGGAACAATTCCCTTTCTTGGCCTTGTTATAATTTCTTCTTTGCTGGAATAGTTGCTTCTACTATGGAATGTTGTCTGAATGCTTTACTTTACTTTTAATGTGGTGAAGTTTGTGGGACTAATCTCCAACTAAAATTTTGGATTTACAGCTTGGCTTGCTAAGAAGGGCACCCCCTTGAGTGTTGGAATAGTCTCTCCATATAATGCTCAGGTTGAAACAATTCAGAAGCTACAAAAGAAATGTCAGTTCCCTGACAATTTCTCTGTGAGGGTGAAGTCCATTGATGGATTTCAGGGAAGTGAGGAAGATATTATTATACTTTCTACTGTTAGAGCAAATCAATTGGGGTCTATCGGTTTCCTCTCCGATCTCAACAGAACTAACGTCGCTTTGACAAGGGCAAGGTGAACATTTTCCTTATAAATTTATCAAAATACATCAAACTTATCAACTATTTAACATTTTACTCCTTTTCTACTATCCAAACATTTTACTCCTTTTCAACTATTTGAACATTTGAAACATTTCGTTGGCTTTTTGAAATTAAGTGAAATGAAATGAGCAAAATGTTAAATAGTTCATCCCTTAGATGTATTTTGATAAGTTTCCCTCAAATTCCTCATTGTATTATTCATGATTTCTTCTTCGCTTGTAGTGAACTAATGATTCGTTATTTTTATTCCTCACAGATATAGCCTCTGGATTGTAGGCAGTGGGCCGACTTTAATTAAAAGTGGTAGTATTTGGGCAAAATTGGTTTTTGATGCAATGGAGAGAGGCTGCTTCTATGAAGTCAATGAGGACCCTGATTTGGTTAAATCCGTCGTGAATTTTCCGGGCAAGAATCGTATGGCAAAATCTTCGAATGTGCAGGTACGCACCCTAAGATTATATTCACTGTCGTTTAAGCCAAGTTAATATTCTCATTGCATCTTCTGTTTTATGTTTTTGTCAGTTTTCAAATGTACATCATTGTTTTCCTGTTTTGGTTGTTTTACTTAGTGTCAAATATTTTTTCAAGACTATTGATTAATTGTAGCAAAGGTGAATTATAAATGAACCTTTTTTTTTTTGTTTTGCAGGCAGTGGACTCAGCTAATGAATTATGGCGCCATTTTGCTGAGCTCGGTCTCTGATCCAAGTGTACCATGTTTCTATTTTCCTAATTCTCATCTGGTTAGGGAAAAAAATGGCCTTGCACAATACAATTCCTTAACTTATTCATTATGGTTTTGGCCCTTATGTGCTTTTAGGGAGGGTTTATGTGGTTTCTTTGCTCCTAGGAAGGAATGAGAAGTTGGGATTATGGTTTTCTAGAGGATGTAATTTTCCCGGCTTGTATTGTATATCCTTGTATGCGCAGGCATTGGTGAATTGATTTATCATAGTCAATAATATCCAAGCAAAATTTAAATTTCCCAACTGCATGGTTCACTGTGTCTTCTATTTTTTCTCATTCCTCTGACCTACATATTTACCCCCTCACGCAAAGCACTTAGGAGAGAAATTTTGAGATCCATCTAATTATTACTAGATGTTTATTTTCAAAGAAAAAAAATTGGATTATGAGTTTTGAACATCTACATTATTCCATCTAAAAATTTGATTGTTCCGTTGGATGCCCTTTTTTAGCCATATAGAGAGTGAGAGGTTTAAAGTATTTTCTTTAAGATTAGTTGCCGGGTTCTAAAGATCACATCCGTAGAATATGGAATTTAAAAGATATTCCTAATATAAGTTTTGTCAAAGGGAATAGATGAATAGTATACTCCAATGGGAGTAGGAAATCTTTTAGCTAAAATGAATATTCCAATTATGGGAAAGAGAAAGAAGTCCAAATAAGATGTCGTGGCCTCTCACAAGTCACATTCAATAACCGAGTTTTATTTAGTGTTATCAAGAAGCCTAGCCAATCGGATGGTTGGTGCTTTGGCTAGTTTGGTCTAATGTAAATTAAAGCTTGACTAAATCTGGTCAAAATCAATATGTGATTAATCTTTGATCAGTTGATCAAACCGATTTGATTAAATATCGGTCAAAATCAATAATTGAAAAGTCTCTATTCAATCTTGAGGCATTATTTTTTTTCGAGCACCATAAAAAGTGTGATTTGGAAAAGCTTTACTATGTGGGTTGATGAGATTACATCCCAAAAATTATTGGACTCTTAAAAGTACTCGTAAATTGGGTTTTACCCAAAGGAGTGAATGGACAATATACTCTTTAGGGGCAAATAAATCTTTTAGCAAAGACGATATGTTCATACAATCCCACATGCAAAACCCTAACCATGAGTATTTCTAGTCCCACCAACTCCCTCGTGCAAAACACTACACATGTATGTTTGGTGTCCCAAATTTTAAGGACCATCGTGAACCTAGTGAACAACAAAAAAAAGGAAAAGAAAACGAAAAAAGAGATTGCAAATTATAAAAGCATTTAGCGTTATTATTAGAAGTTTACCACTACTAACTATTAGCTGTCAAATTGGATGGCTTGGGATGTGTCATGAAGTTCGAGATTTTTTTTTTTTTGAACTTCGAATCTAGTCAATAATATTTCTCGCAACTATATGAATTGAAATCTAAAAAAATTAACTTAAAACAGAATATAAACTATCTAATATCTATACATGTTTTAGGAATTCAAATTCCTTTTCTCTCTTTTTAAATACCCTTCTTGTTATTCTAAGGTAGATCTCAAAAATCAAAGAAATCCTCAAAAGCAAGTCTTTCAAGGATTGACTGTGCTTATAATAGGGTGGTAGATGTGGTGATCGAAGAGTAATTTTACTATTGGCATAATTGATTTATGTTTATATTTCTCCAAACTTTGAGGATGAAGTAGTTTGGAAGAGAGAGAGTGTCAGGTAAATTTTCTGTCAAGTAAGTGTATAAGCTTCTCTATCATGATCGAAGTAGGTGGACACAACCCTCTTGAGATATATTTGGAAAATTTCAATCCCACACAAAATTCAAGCTTTATGTAGATTGTATTGCAAGTAAAGCACTACCTGTTGATAATCTAATCCCCATTGACTCAAAAAAAAAAAAAAGGAAAAAAATACATCCATTTTTCTCTCAATTTTTTTTTTGTTTGATAATCTAATGAAGAGAGGGAAAACTCTAATTAATAATAAAAAATTGTTTCACGCAGGCTGGACCGCATTTCTACATATGCAATCTAGAAAGTGTAAAGCATCCACCTTAGAGATGGATGCAAGTGGGTGTTTCATCTAAAAACAATACAAATTCATGGTCCAAATATTTTTTTACTAGAATTATTATTTATAGTTTTTAAAATTTATTTATTTTTCATATATATGATCTCCACATTAGAGATTACATGTCCTTAAAAATTAAGCCTTAAAATCCATCTCAAAAATAGATTTATTAGGAGGCCTGCATTTTACATATGCGAGCTTGGCCACATAAAAACCGGGTCTATTAATATTTGTTTGTTATGCCAAAAAAAAAAGATGGGGGAGACTGAGGACAATTTATTCTTGCATTGTTCTTTTACTGCTGAAATTGTGCTTTGGAGGACATCAAAACATTCTATTGCAAATGGAGTTGTAAGTGTGGACCATTGATTTGGAGGATATTTAGAGCAGTTGTGGTATGGGAGAAAGAAAGAAATAGAAAAACATTTGAGGGTGTTCTTTTGGGTCGGGAGGCTGTTAAAAATAGTATACGAAACGGTTTGTTGAATAGGTTTTCAGTTACAAAGGAAGGAACTAGGATTTATAAAGTGATATTCTAGTTAATTTAGAAAACAATGTTAACAATGCCCCAATACTTTTGAAACCAAAAGGTATATGGAAAGATCCACTTCAAGTTGCATTAAAAGTAAATTATGTTGGAAGTTCTTTCGAAAACCCAGAAATGGCTGGCTGGGATTGGTGGTCTATTAAAACTTTCAGAAGATGGAATCTAATTTTCCTTCGCGGGCCATTGTGGCTCCTCTCCTACAAATAAGCCCGAATTTAGTGCAATATTGTAAGGATTGAAGTTGGTGAGGGAAAAAATTTTTTGGGGGCTGTTGTGCGGTAGAAGGTGACTCCCTAAATATGATTAATTTGTGCAATAAGAAGAGCACGCCACTGTGTAATTTACGGCATATCTGGCCTGAAATTTTAGATATTAAGCGGTATGGAGTTATCGTTTCAACATGTTTATAGAGAAGCCAATAGCGTGGCTGGTGCATTGGCAAGAAAAAAAAAAAAGCCTTCCAGTGATTTTTTATGGCCTTCTTTGAATCTATTGTAAATACGTTCTTATTTTAAGGACTCTTCTCAACAAAAAAAAAAAAGGAAAAATTGTCTTTTTCCCAAAGGAGTGTGGCTTGTTTTGGGCACGAGACCTGTAAAATTGGGAATATACACCATATGGCCTGTATACAACAGCATGACTGTGTATCAAGCGTCGATCATGAAATTAGACAGCGGAGAACCGATTTGTGGACATGGTTCAGCACGGAGTTTGTCATGTTTGTAAAGCAGTTCATCTCTACCATCCGTTTTCTGAAATGATGATGATCCCCTGCACATGTACCAAGACTCGTGTGTATGGAAGCCTTTGGGGTTGCTATATTCAACCAAGTCGATGGCCAAGGGCACTTATGATATTTTTATATTTTCTCTAG